GTCAGGAATAACTTCCTAATCAAACAGTTATCATGGCGCTAATCAAAAGAAGAGAACTCCCCCACCAGATTGGGTCCCAAACAGCTCTCCCACTTCCTTTTGGCTCCGGGGAGCAAAGTGAAGCTAGCCGCCAGCAGGCCGGCATTCAGCGCCCAAGCTCCGGCAGAGCTCCCAGTGCCACTTGCCGGCTCCCGCGACCCAGCAGCCCGGCCCTTGCTTCCGGGACCCAGCGCAGCCGCCCAGCCGGGGGCCAGAGGAGCGATCGAGCCAGTTAGGCCTTTACCCAGGCTGCCCAGTCCCTGGTGCCGGTCGCCGCGGCCCGGAGGGGAGGAAGCCGGCGTCTCCCGCTGGCTCCCAGCTTCCCCGGGTCGCTCCGTACGGCGCGTCTAGCCCGCCTCCGCCCGCCAGCCAGCGCGCAGCCGGGCCCAGTCTGGCACCCGGCCCGATCTGGACACCAGAGTGCGTTTAGCAGAGACCCACTGAAGGGGCCCGGAGGAACGGGCGCGCGGGGCGGGGAGTCCAGCCCCACTCGATCCTCCCAGAGCTCAGGTTCCCCTGCTGCCCTCTGCAGGTTCCCAGGCGTCAGGCCCTGCCCCATGACCTCATATCCACCTCCCAGTCTGGACTTGATGTTAAAGCCCATTTTACAGATGAAGTGTGGAAGCGTGAAATGACCTGCACAGGTTGTCCCAGATGAGTCAGAACAAGAGTTCCGGGTCTAGACCTTCCTCACCCTGAGAAACTCATCCCCAGAGCCTCCTGACCTCCCTTCTTGATCACAACCGTAGCTTACCTCCACTCACAAGACTGAGCCCTTCTTGGATCTTCCCTTCTGTGTCACTCACTCCGAAGACCTGTAGGGGGGGCCTCTGGTCACTTTGGCCAGGAAGGAAGCATGGGGGCTGATAGACACTTCCTACTCCAACCTGCTTTTCCTGTCTGACATCCAGTCACGGTTTAGCCTTGGGACTTCCGTATTCTAAAAAACCCCAACCCTCATCCCTTCCATTCAAGGAACACCCAAAGTTCTCGTAACTAAGACTGTAGAGCCACCCATCACCTTCAGCCAAGGAACGCCTCCATGTGCAAACACGGGTAGGGAACTCAGAGAGAGGCTCCTCGGGGCTGGAAAGTGGCTTTTGTGGTCTTGCCTCCGCTGGAACAGAAGACAATGGTGATAATTTCATTAGGCGATTGTCCATTCATTCCATGTGTTGGGCCAGTGCTGAGCAAGTCATGCAGGGACCCACAGTGTTGACAACGAAGGAATGTTCTTCCGAGGCAGCGGGAAACCATTAGGAAAGTTACCACCTGCTTCTCGCAGATTGAACCGGATGTTTAAAAGTCAGAAGGACATACTGGGCAGCAGGGAAAATGACAGATTTGCATTTTTCTATTTTTATTTTTATTTTTTTAAAGATTTACTCAATTATATATACAATGTTCTGCCTGCATGTACACCTGCAGGCCAGAAGAGGGCACCAAATTTCATTATAGATGGTTGTGAGCCACCATGTGATTGCTGGAAATTGAACTCAGGACCTCTGGAAGAGCAAGCAGTGCTCTTAACCTCTGAGCCATCTCTCCAGCCCCCAGATTTGCACTGTTAAAAGAAGTTCTTCTAAGATTGAAGAGATGGCTTAGCAATAAAAGCACTAACTGCTCTTCCAGTGGACCTGGGTTCAATTCCCAGCATCTACTAGGCAGCTCACGATAGTCTGAAACTCCATTCTCAGTGGATCAGGCCCTCTTTTGGCCTCCTTGGGCACTGCATGTGTGTGGTGCGCAGATGAACATGCAAACAAAACACCCACAACACAATCTTTTTAATATTAAAAACAAAATAAAAGAGGCTAGATGGCAATGGCACGCGCCTTTAATTCCAGTGGAGGCGGAGGCAGGTGGATCTTTGACTTCGAGGCCAGCCTGGTCTACAGGGTGAGTTTCGGGACAGCCAGGGACACACAGAGAACCCCTGTCTTCAAAACAAAACAAAACATAAAATAAATAAAAGAAGTACTTCCAGAGAAGTTGAATGAGTATGAACATCTCCATAGATGTAGTCTCAGAGGTGACACTTAGGTCCCAGGAGCCTCCTCAGTTTCACTCTACCTACTAGCCATGGGAAGCCGACTGTCACCTGGCTACAATTATTGTACATTGCTCAGAGCAAGTCATTTTCCTCCCCATGGGTATGACAGCTATGTGGGTTTTACTAATAACATATAATTTGACTGGCTTCTGCAGACAGAAGGGCTGTGAGTCAAGCTGTAGGCATGTCTTCTGTTGTCAGTATAGAGCACCAGGTGCCCCAAGAGCCACGGCCCAGAAAACCATCTTGATCAACTCTGTCCTCTAGCACTTTGTGCAGGCCCTGACACAGACATGCAGCATGTTGAGAGCACAGTCTCCGAGGCCTAGTAGTTAGGACCGGGAGAGAGAGCCCATTTCCAGACACACCTGCGTGGGCAGGTTGCTAGAACTAGGGAGAGGCAGCCGAGCAGGTGGGTGACAGTGACAGCAGCGAGAGCACCGCCTGGAGAGCTTGCCTGTTGCTTCTGCCCAGGTCCCTTTGCTGTAAAAGGAGATGGTAGCGCTGCACTTAGCCCCACCTCCGGTTTGCTGTAGGAATCAAGAGAGCTCCCTCTGTGAATCTGTGGACCATTCTGCAAGTGTTCCCTGTGCTTGCAGGTGATGCCTGGCTTCAGAAGGGCTGCTGCCCTCTCTGTTCTCTGTGGAACTTCGAATCAAAGGCATTTGATTATTTCAGAACAATTTGCACTTGGGGCTGGGAGTGTAGCTCAGTGTGGAGTGTGTTTATGGGCAGGGGTTTACATTTTAAAAGAGAACCAGCTGAGGGACTTGGAGGCCAGCGACTATAACCCCAGCTATTTGGGAGGCTGAGGACAGAGAGTTGTAAATCCAAGGCCTGCCTAGGCCATAGAGGAGCTCAAGGCCAACCCAAGTAATGTGAGACCTTGTCTAAAAGTTTAAAACAACTTTAAAAGGCCTGGGGATGTACAGGATCTTAGGTTCAACCAGCAGCCAAACAAACAAACAAACACAAGGAATGAAACATAAAGGAAGACTCTGAAGAAAAACCAGTTCATGGTGGCGGCTCATTCCTGTAATTATGCCCTGAGGAAACTCAGGGCAACAGGGTTGCTTTGATTTCAAGGAAAACCTGGGCAGGCATGGTCAGGAAGGGGCCCAGGGATATATTCCAGTCAGTATAGCGCTTGCCTAGTAAGCATGAAGTCCTGGGTTTAATTTGCAATGCTGTGCATGAAGCAGATAGACCTGCCTGAAAGTGCAGCATCTGGTAGGTAGAGTCAAGAGGATCCGAAATTCTAGGCAAGCTCTGCCATGATGTAGTGAGTTCAAAATCAACCTGTACTATATGAATAAATAAATTAATAAATAACCCCCCCCCAAGCTGTGCACGGTGGTGCATGCCTGTAATCCCAGCACTCAGGGAGGCAGAGGCAGGTGGATCTCTGTGAGTTCAAAGCCAGCCTGGTCTACAAAATGAGTCCAGTCAAGGCTACACACAGAAACTCTGTCTCAAAAAACCAAAGATAGATAGATAGATAGATAGATAGATAGATAGATAGATAGATAGACAAGGCCCCCCCAGATATATAAATAATGGAAGCTAATATCAGATAAAATATAAGCAGTTGGATGTGATGGCACACATCTTTAATCCTAGCACCCAGGAGACTGAGGTAGGCAGATCCCTGAGTTTGAAGCCAGCTGGGTCTATACAGCAAGCTTCAGGCCAGTCAGGTTTACATAGTGAGTCCCTGTCTCAAAGAAACAAGCGAAAACAAACAAACAAAGGAAAGAGGTTCCTAAATGCCCCCCCCAAACAACCTAGGATTCAGATTTTTCCTACTTCTCTTTCTCACTCCATGTCTTCATAAGAAACAAGATCAGACTGTCTCCAGTTGAGTACCTAAGCAGTCAAAGTGTTCAGACAGGACGCTTTCTCTACCTGGGGCACAGTTGGGGCACAGACAGCTGACAGGGATGGTTTCAGTGGCTTCCTTCAATCCCCAAGCCTCAGGCCCAGGAGAAAAGAGGACGAGACAATATACAGCTTCTCCAGCCATCTGCCACCAGTTCTCAAAGCTCTCAGAACACTTTCCCTTTCCAAACCTCTGATGTGTGGTGCTGATTTCCGATGGCTCAGCCCTGGTATATGTGTTCCAGTAGGAAAAAAAAATGGAAAGACAAAGAGAAATTTAGAGTAAGCCCAATGAAGTCCATGTCACTCCCATCATGAGGCAGATAAGGCTCTAGGGTAGTGGTTCTCAACTTGTAGGTCGTGACCCACAGGGGTTGCATATCATATATTTATATAATGATTCATAACTAGCAAAATTACAGTTCTGAAGTAGCAATAAAATAGTTTTATGGTTGGGGGTCACCACAACATGAGGAGCTGTATTAAAGGGTCACAGCATTAGGAAGGTTGAGAACCTCTGCTCAAGGGCCTTTTCTGCTTCCCATTGTCCTTTCTGAAAACCACTGACTGGCACTCTCCTTCCCCTCTGTGCACTACCAGGACTCCATGAGCCCTGGAGAGAGTCATGGGTCACTCTGGTGATATACCTATGAAACAGACATTAGCGCCCACAAACAGCTTGCCGACCCAGCCATGAGAACGTAGTCTTCAGTCATGCTAGGCAATCCCTCTGCCAACTGAGCTACACGTCCAGCCCTCAGGGTTCCATTTCTACCATTTCCCGGTCCATGTCACCTGTCTCTCATCTGAAAAAGGGGGATGACGACGAAGTACTATGTGGCTTGGCGCTGAAGTTTTGGTTCAGGCAGGAAGTGTGACACAAATGTTTCATAAGATCCACATTCGTGAATTTGACATACACCTAACACTTAACACCCCTGCCCCCAAGATCTCCAAAGATGGCAGGCATTATGCCAGGTGCTCAATAGCCTATGGCAGCAGGTGACCACATTCATACACTGCATACTGTATAAATATAGGTTTTATTAATAATGGGTGAAATCCCCCAAATACAACTGGCATCTGTGTAATGAGAAGAATCTGGGGCCGGCCGGTACAGAGGAATGAGCGCAGGGACTGGGGAAGGAGTCCTGGGGAAGAGGAAACCAGATGTAGGATGATCCCGGACCCACCAGAAAAACAGAGTGCTCCAGGGGTCTGCCACCTTGGCATCTAGGCCCTGCTGTCCAGGAACCAGCTGCTGACTGGAAGATGCGAATATGTGAACAGAAGTTTGAGTGAGCAGCAGACAGCTGGAGGAGGGGCAGGAGAGCAAGTGTCCTTTTGGAGCACAAAAGGAGGGCCATGGTGGAGCAGCGGCTGGGGCCAGCTGTGCCCATTCTTGTGCTTGTTGGGTTCTGGCCTCCAGGAGGCCAGTACCCAGTGCCACCCCTGGCCCTAAGGGGAGGAAAGACTGGGAGATAGACACCTGCAGACACCTGGAGCTACTCTGGGGCACACCAGCCTCACTTATCCTCCGAAGTGGGATTTCCCCAGGAGGACGTTGGCACTGCCCTCCAGCCACCACCGTCAGCTCCATGCCACCATCCCATCGCTCTCTCTCTGAGCTGTAAGGGACGGTGCATGTGTCGGGCTGAGGTTGCCTGGTTGCCCTCGTGTGCCTGTAACTCTGGAGAGGAAATGAGCACGTGGAACTGAGCCTCAGGAGCAGCAAGGAGGTTGGATTGGGGCTTCCCCGGCTCACCCCCGCCTCCCAGAATAAAGTGCATTCTCCAGTTCCCGAGGCAGGTGAAAGAGTGACACAGACGTTATTGCAGAGGCGCCTCTGAGACTTACCCAGACCAAAGGTATAGGGAAGCAGGTGGGACAGCTCACGGTCTCTCCAATCTCCAGGATTGGGAGTGGTGGCCCAGACAGAAAACCCGGCTTCTGTCCCAACAGATTGTCCAGATTAGCCAAAATGGGTGTGGGGAGGAAGGGGGAGGAGGAGAAGACTTCCAGAGTCCCTCCTTGTTTCATCCGATGTCCATAATGGGGCTCCCTGGGGACCCCACCAGGGCCCAGCCCTGGAACTCCAACCTGATAGCAGTTTAGAAACACTAGTGTGGTGGGGACCCCAGAGGGGGTCACTTTGATAGCCTGTAAGTCAAGGCCTAGGGAACACGGGGCTCCCAGGCAAACAGAGGAAGGTGCTTTGCGCAGAGGAGGGCAGCCCCCCCCACCGGTCTTTGCATGCAGGTGTTGGAGAGAGTAAGGAGGAAGCTACAAACTGCATCAACTTGGGAAGACTCCTGGCCTCGATGGAGAGGGCTGGAGCGCTGGGGGCCCAGGCCCACAGCCAGCCTGTGGAGCAGCCGAGGGAGAGGAGGGCAGCTGCACCAGCAACCAATGCCCATGTCTCTGAGTTTAAAACAGTCCCGAAGGGCTGGAGCTGGGGGCTTCCGGCCCCAAAGAGGTGGCAGCCAGGCTCTATCTCTCAGACTTGACCCGGTATCGGAGCACAAGATATGCCAGCAGCCGCAGGGCAAGGAAGAAAATGCCCAGGACCAGGAAGTCCATGTAGAGTTTGGCTTCCTCCACATCCAGCTCTCGCAAGATGATCTGTGGGTCCCGGAATGGACACTGTTCATCTAAGCAGGTCAGGTGTCCTCGCTCCATGCCATAGATGGTCAGGATCAAACCCTCAAAGCCATACCTAGGCAAACAGGAACATCAGAGCAAAGCCACAGAGCACAGGACCCCTGTCCCTCAGCAAATCACCAGAGCCCAGCCACGGTGCTCTTGTACTCAGGTGCCAGCCAGGGTGCAGGGGCAGACATCAGACATGGCACAGCCCCTTTAGAGCTGGCAGGACCTCCTGTGGGGAGGGAAGCTCACCGACCTGACATAGGAGAGATAGGAGCTCCACTGCAGGTAAGTGGGGATGGTCTTGAAACTGACAAAGAAGCCGGAGAACAAGAGGACGGGGATGGCAGTGACTGGGCCCACGAAGGTGGCCACCTGAAGGAGAGGGCAGAGGAGCTCAAGTATCACAGGGGTGACCACAGTTCCATCCACCCTGTGGCAGCTCTTGACTTCTCCCATGAGACCCCGAGTGTGTGTGTCAACCTTCCCACCTGTAGGGAGTTGGAGGCAGCGCCAATCAAGAGTCCCAAAGACTGGGCGACTAAGGCGGTGGCTGTGGCCAAGGCTGAGAAGAGCAGGAAGCGGCTGGTCTCAGCCGGCTGGCCGGTCATCCAGTACACAATGCTGCAGTACACAACTGGGCACACCACCTGAGGAGCAGCCACAGAGGAGGTTAGGGACCTTCAAGCCAAGGGTAGGTGACTTAGGTCATCCCACCAGAGAGGAGTAAGTGTTCCCCGTGCTCCTCGGCCCGTACTGCCTCCATCTTCATGCTGCTTTTTAGACTGACACGCGTCCTCTTCCTCCCTGACTACATCTTATTTAACTTTGCTCGGCTGTTCTGACAGGTTCGGGCATGTGACTCCTCCCACCTCTGAGAATCTACAGTCCTTCCCATCATTCCAGGGGGTTGGCGGGGGTGGGGGAGATTGTATGTATGTGTCTATGTATGCATGTGTGTCTGTGTTTGACTGTGTGTGTATGTGTGTGCATTCATTTATGTAGGCACACACAGAGGCCAGAAGGGATGTTGTCTTCCCTGGAGCTAGCACTACAGCTATTTGTAAGCTGTCTGACGTGAGTGCTGGTAACTGAGCTTAGGCCTTCTGCAAAAGCAACAAACACACCTAACCACTGAGCCATCTCTCACACATATATGTATTATATGAGTCCATGTATTATATTTATTTAAGACTTGTTTTTATTTATGTGTATATGTCTCTGTATGTGTGTGCAGGTACCCATGGAGGCCAAAAGAGGGCGTTGGATCTCCTGGAGCTGGAGTTGCAGGCACTGATGAGCCCTGTAACGCGTGTGGTGGGAACTGAACTCTTTTCTCTGGAAGAAGAGCAAGCCCTTTTAATCTTTTATAGATTGAGCCCTTTTTCCAGTCTCCTCATATTATTAAAGAATTAACTCCCCCTAGGAGAGAGCTCTGTTTCCGCTAGAGGCTGCCACCTTTTGACATAAGAAGCAGACATGTGTGCTGGGCAAATCTAGAGCTCTACAGCACCCCATGGAGACCCTAGTTACTAAGTAAGTCACTAAGTTACCCCTTCATCCCTGTGCTACAGAGTGAGACCTTGTCTGAAGAAACAGAGAGAGCACAAGCCCATGGGAAACAGGAACTTGGCTCGGTAGCTACAGGTGTACAGGTTGTTTCCTGTACAAAGGCTCCCAGCTTCTAGACAGAGGCCAAGCTCTAGCTTGTATTTCTCTCACTAAGCTCTGTACATGGCACAGGACAGCATCTGCCTCCTTGTTTGCTATTTATTTGTTTGAGACAAGTGTCTCACATAGCCTATTCTGGTTTCAAACTCCGTATGTAGCCATGGATGACCTTGGACTCCTAATCACCCTGCTTCTCTTCCAAGTACATGAATTATTAGTGTGCCCAACCCCACCTAGCTAAGGGACACTTTTCTATAATTTGCACAAAGGGTTACTGGTGGCCCTGACGCTTTGAACAAGGTGGCAATGTGTTTAAAAAATACCAGCAGTGGCGCAGGCCTGTAATCCCAGCACTCAGGGAGGCAGACTCGAGGCCAGCCTGGTCTCCAGGACAGCTAAGGCTACACAGAAAAACCCTGTCTTCAAAAAAAATCAAACAAACAACAAACAAAAAAAACAAATGCCCAGCTGGTATGTGACAATCTCTCTTCTAAAAACTATATAGGGAGCCAGCAAGTTGGCTCAGCAGGTAAACGTGCTTGCTTGCCAAGCCAGACAGAGTTCAGTCCTTAGAATCCACATATTAGAGGAAGAGAAGTGAATTCTGTGTACTGCCCTCTGGCCTGCCCACATACACCGTGGCACAAACGCGTATATATACACACAAGATAAATAAGTAAATGTAAAAAAAAAAAAAAAATTGCCAGGTATGACAATCCCAGCACTCAGGAGGCAGAGGCAGGTGGATCTCTCTGAGCTCAAGGACAGCCTGGTTCACAGAGTGAGTTCCAGGACAGCTATGTAGGGAGACTCTGTCTCAAAACAGCAAACATGTAAATTAAAAATTAAACTTCATATGCATTCACATTTAATCCTAAAGCACAACTCTGAGGAAGACTCCAGTGCCATCCCGTTTTCCAGGTGGAGGCACTGAAGCAAAGAGCACTGGGTGGCTTGCCCAGGGTTCTACAGCTTGCAAGCAAGGAAGGCTCCAGAGCCTATGAGTTCTCTGCTGCCTATAAGATAGAGACATTCGTTATTCTGCAATTATGATCACCTTATTTATTTATTTATTTATTTATTTATTTATTTATTTATTTATTTAGGGATAGGTATTCACACTGTGGCTGGACTTGAATTCATGGCGATCCTCCTGTCTCAGCACCCCCTCCCTCCACCTCCACCCCACCCACTACCAAGTGTTGGGATGAGGTGAGCCACTCCACCTGGCTGTTTCTGGTTTGTTGTCAGTTTTCCCATTAGACCACGCATTCGACGAGCTCACCTATGAGCCTGCTGGAGGCAGTGTCGGGAAGAGACTTACCTGAAAGGGCACATCAGCCATGGTCTTGGCCAGGTAATACGCTTTGAGGCTGTACCAGTAGTTCAAGTGCTCCCTCATAAACACGGCCATCTCTAAGGGAACTGAGGGCACAGGGAGGTCAGGCTCCACAGGCTAAGCCTTGGCCCCTGCCTCATGCCCAGCGCTCCCCCTCCCACCCTGTTTTATTAGCCAGGCAGGTCAGCTCACAGGTGAGCACGGTCGGCATGAGGGCTGCGAACATGATGAAGAGCATGGAGAAGAAGAGAAAGCCTGTGTTGTTGAAGACCTTGCTGGCATCATCACCAATGTGTAGGTAGAGGAGGCCAATGAGCACGCCAATCAGCACGTGTGACATGAACCGCAAGTGGGTCAGGACCTATGGCCAAGGTCATCAAGAGAAGAAGTATTTGTCTCAGGCCGAGGCGAGGGAGTGGGGGTGAGGGACACAGAGAAGGCCATGCTAGCATGGGAATTCTGGGGTGCCCTTCAGGCACACAGAGCCAAGGTACATCACATGGGAGGACAGTGTTCCCAGTTCCCCTTCCAGCTACTGAGATTCTATGGCCCAGGAGGTCTGGCCGACACCTCCTGCCCTTCAGCTTGCTGTCTCACCGTGTCCCTGAGGATGGATAGGAAAGTCCTCCTGAACAGGATGCAGAACTGGGTAAGTGTGCTGGTGGCGAAAGTGTGGCTCTCAATGGGATCCATTTCCTAGGGAGAAGAAACGGGACCAGGTGAATGTGCCCTGCCGCCCTCTCCCCGTCCTGCTCATAGACGGGAGAGTCACGAACTCTTCCCAGGACAGCGCCCAGGCCTGCAGAAGAAGGAGCCTCTGGCCCTGAGCTGCTCACCTAGAAGCTGGGTTTAGGGATGAGAACCTCAGGGAGATTGAGGGTAGAAGGGAAAGAGAGAGAGAGAGAGAGAGAGAGAGAGAGAGAGAGAGCAGGATAAAGGTCCTTGGGAGGTGGGAGATAGGAAGGAGTCAAAGACCACTGCTGGCTCATCTGACTGGTTCCTTCTTCACTCCACTACCACTAACTCTAAGGCCATCATTGTTTGTAGGGCCACTGGATCTCCCATTGATTAACAATGCTGACAATGAGTAATAACAACAACAGCCGAGCTTCTGGCTTTCAAGAGTGATGACATTTCGTCTAAGGAAGGAATCTGGCACTGCATGGACCCTGCCTGCCCCAGTGGCCTGCTAAGAGCCAATGTGATCTGCTAGCCAGTCTCCCACCTGTTCTGGGAAGCTAGTGTGGTCCCCTCTGGGTTAGAGATGACAGCAGACCACCCTGGCCCCAAGGTCAGCAACTGCCCTGGCCACACTTTCCAGATGGGCCCTGAGCAGGCACTGATGTCAGAGCACCCAGGATGCCCATGGGAGCTCTGGAGGAACCACTGGATGAGAAGACCAAAGCTCAGGAGAGGACACAGTCTGTTTCAAGTACCAGGCTTCCCATTACACAGAGGCGACAATGCCTCTGGGGACAGCTGTTTGGCAGGGTCATTGTCTGTGATCCCATCTCCCCTCCCCCACTCTGCCCTTTCCACCCCACTCACCGGAGGGCAAGTGGGGCAGTGGGCAGGGACCTCATTCTTCTCAGGGCTGCTCTTCTTCTCGGCCATGGTGCAAAGGCCATTCTGCACAGCCCTGAACAGCATGGGGTTCAGGTCTCCATACTCTCCAGAGGCCACCTCAATGACTAGGGGGACACAGAGCAGAGTGCTCAGCTAGGCTTCACCCTTGGTTCCCAAGGGCAGTGCAATCCCTTTTTTGGTGTGTGTGGGGTGGGGGGGAAGCAAGTGACAATGAGCTCTCAGCCCCCAAGAGGCCTCCACAATCCAAACCCAGTGTCTGGCCCTCTTCTGTCTCCCACCTCCTCACAGGAACCCCTACTTACTGAAGTCGGCGGGGTTGTGATACGTGGGGCAGTGCAAGCCAAGCCCCTTCAGATAGGGTATCAGATTGGTAACCACGCCCTTGAAGATGCACTGTCCCTGGCTTAGGATGTAGAGCTGAGGCAGAAAGGAGCACATGAGGAAAACACGACCAGAGGACTGGGTCACCCCACTGACACCTCTGCCCCTCTATCACAGGCCAGTCTTCTTGGGAGCCCAGGGATACTGACCTTGTCGAACATCTCAAAGAGCTTGGCGCTGGGCTGGTGGATGGTGCAGATGACGGTGCGGCCCCCGTGGGCCAGGGACTTCATGAGGGACACCACTTGGAAACAAGAAGCGCTGTCTAGACCGCTGTCCAGAGAGAGGTCACCAGGGACCAGTGAGGTGGATTCGGCTGAGAGGGGGTGAGTGAGGTGGGGCAGCTTCCGTGAACGGGATGGGATGGGACACAACTAGTGGGAAGGCACCCCTCTGGCCACCCCTGTCCTGGTTAGCTTGGGTCAACTTGGCACAGACTAGAGTCATTTGGAAAGAGGGAGCATTATTTGAGAAAATGTCCCTGTCAGAGTAGCTGGTGGGGGACATTTTCCTGAAAATGGTTGATGTGGAAGGGCATAGCCCACGGTGGGGAGTGCCACTCCCTGTTCGTTGTAGAAAAAGAAAGCCCACTAAGCCTCAGAGGACAGGCTGTTAACCAGCATTCCCCACAGTCCCAAGCTCCTGCTTGGGTTCCTGCCCTCACTTCCCTCAACTCTGGACTGTCATCTGAACGTGTGCGCCAAATAAACCCTCTCCTCCCTCCCCACGTTGCTTTTAGCTGTGGCCTTTAGTTACAGCAATAGAAAGCAAAGTAGGACGAGCCCCTGTATCCTGCACACCCTGTGTGGCTCAGATATTTGCAAGCCCAGAGCACTGCTCAGTTTAAAAACTGTATGCCGAGCACCTGTTGCCTAGCAGGCACTGGGATGTCAAAGGCTCATGTTAGATTGGTCTATAGGGAGACAGACAAGCTCGTGGTTGACTTGAGGAGATGTAAAAAAATACAATAGCAACAGCAGCTGAAAGACTAGCTAGGGATCAGCCATGCTGTGCTGTAGCCAGGGGTTGGAGGATAGCCAGAGAAGGTTGCTGAGTCTAGAAAGAGCAAGAGTTAAGCTAGTGACAGGACAATGGAAGGTGTCATGGTGAAGGGCATTCCACACAGAAGACATAGAGAGAGGCATGAAACCCAGGGTGTGATAGGAATGGCAGGCAGATCAGCGTTATTAGAACATGAAATATGAAAGACCAGATAAGAAGCCATCTGACTATTTTGAGGGCAAAGGGGACTCATTGCATGGTTTGAAGCAGGAGAGTGGAGCTTGCCAGACTTTTCATTTAGAAAGCCCATTCTTAGCCACAGGTTGGAGGAAGGTGCCTGGGAGACTGAAGACAGGGAGATGAGTCTTCATGATGTCCTGAGCTCAAGCCTTAGGGAGGGGACTGGGCAAATGTGAGAGCTACCAAATTGATTTGATGAGTAATGGCTGCGGGGGAGAGGAAAGGGAAATGTTATGTGTGGGGGAACATCCAGAACACCACCTGTATGAAAGGCAGGGCAGCTTGGCTCTACTGGATTAGCAAGGATGGGGTCCCCAGAAGGCTGCAAACAGAGTATACAGTCCCCAGCCACGGAGCCATTAACCAGACTCCACATCCAGCCCTGGCTTAGGGCCGAAAGGGGGAACCCCGGGTCAGGAGAAGCAGGGAGCTACCTGGTGGGCTCATCAAAGAACATGACCGGAGGGTTGTTGACCAGTTCCAGGGCGATGGCCAGGCGCTTCCTCTGCCCTCCAGAGAGCAGGGCTGTCCTCGTGTGAGAGCAGGACATCAGTCCCAGTGCTGTCAGGATCTCTGTCACCTGCAGGCACACCCCCCCCCCCAGCTCCAGTCAGCCTCAGAATCTCTGCTTCACTTAAGCACCAACCCACTTTCACAGAGCATTGCCCTTACACCCTTGTTCCCCACCCAGCCTGTGGCCCAGAACTCATAAGCTTCAGAAGGGCTCCACCCCTTTCTCCCCTACCCCACTTACCAGCTCCTTCTTTACCTCTTGCTTCTCACTCAGCTTCAGGTTGGCAGAGACCTAAAAGGCGATAAGCAAGTGAGAAAGGCATGCACGCTTGGTTCCTGCTCAGCCCCATCAGTCAGCCGGTGACAGAAGGGGAGCTTGGAGGAGGAGAAGGCCGCCCTCTCCTCACCATCATGGCTTCCAGGACTGTGAGGTGTGGCAGGAGCATGTCGTCCTGCATGATGTAGCAGGACATCTTGCGGAAGGTCCTCAGATCTCGTGGCCTCCCATTAACCAGGATCTGCCCTTTCATCCCAGACTCCCTGCAGGGCGGTTGGTGGGTAGTGAGCACCAAAGTCACCTCAGTACACCTCCTGTGCTCTCCCTGCGCCCCCTCTCCTGAGCCCTCACCCATTTCCACTCTTCATGCTCACCTGTACCCTGCCAAGATGTTCATGAACGTGGACTTGCCGGCCCCAGAGGGGCCCATGATGCCAATCAGCTCCCGACGGCAGAACTTACCAGACAGGCACTTGAGGAGGGTCTTGTAACCTGCAGCAAGAACAGGGGAGTCACTGGTAAGGGCTAATGGATCAAAGGCATCCTCAAAACTCATAAAGAGAGGCCCTGGGGAGACGGCTCAGTCAGCAGAATGCTTACCACACAAGCACAAGGAAGGACCCTAATTTCCATCCCAAGAGCCCACCTAAACTGCCTTGCTTAACCTGTGTTTAGTGATCCCAGCTTGGGAAGTTGAGACAGGGAGATTGCTGTGAGCTCCAAGACAGCCTGGGCTACAAAGTCGGAAACTCTGTCTAAAACAAAACAAAACAAAACAAAACAAAGCAAACAAAAAGGCGCAGGAAAGATGCCCCCCCCCCCCCACACACACACAGTTAAGAGCAGGCACTACCCACATTCCTAGCACCCACCCTCAGTGGCTCACAAATACCGGTAACTCTAGCTCCAGGGGATAGGATGCCCTCTTCTGGGCTCTGCAGGCACTGCACTCACGTGTTAGCGCCCCTCACCACATACACATTTTTGAATAAAAACATGACTCTTTTGATAACAACAGAAAAGCCTGGGGTTGGTGGTGCATACTTGTTATCCCAGTGCTGAAAAGAGCAAGACAGGTAGGTCCCTGGACCTCACTGGCTGGCCATAGACCCCAAACTCAAAGAGCAAGGTGGATGGCTTTTGGGAAATAACATCGGAAGTTGGCTTCTGGTTCCCACGTGCATGCATGAGCACACACGAGAGAGACAGAGTGACAGAGAGGCAGACAGAGAGACAGAGACAGAGAAACAGACACAGACACAGAAACATCAAGACATCGAGACAGAGGCTCTTAGAAGAGGCTCAGTCACGGATGAACTAACCGTGGCTGAGCAGAATTGAGGCACCCAGTTCTTACACAGTAGCTCTCACCCTCCCATCCTGTCCCCCTAGACATGACAAGTGTGAGAGTCCAGGAGGGGGCATTGAGGGCTGTGGGAACGGTGACACCTCCCATGAATGGCTCTAGCTAGGTCCTAAAGACCAAGGCTCTCTCCTTATCATAGCGCTCTGACACTGTCTGAGGACACTCTGGCCAAACAGCCCAGGCCGGCTGCTCATCCTATGTTCCTGCATTACTCTTCAGACGCCATCGTGTTTGTCACTCCATGTGCCTGTGCCCACACCGCTCCCTCGGCCTCTTACTCGGGCAACATGGTGGGGGAAAGGTCCGTGTCTTACTCATCTTCCTTGTCGGTCTGGCATGTAGTAGATGCTCGGTGAGCAAGTTTTCTAGGCCCTTTTGCTCCGTCCTGGGAAAAGGAAATCCCTTCTTTGCTGCTTTACAAGCTCGTCTCTCCAGCCCTAACATGGCCAGTAAAACCTCCCCTGGCAGTCACTCAGTGGGAGGCAGCACCTGCATATCCCAGTATGGAGTCAGGAGCATCTGCTTGCTTCAGACTCTGGATCCACGTTACCAGCTGTGTGACCTGAGGCAAGTTGCTTAACCTCTCTGAGCTCTGTGTCCCTCACAGGTAAAGTGAGGCTGGCAGTGCCTAATCATAGGGTTGCTGTGAGGAGTCAGTGAGCTAACATATGTAAAGCAGATGGCTCAGGGCCTGGCACATACAGTGCCTTTCACAAGGTGTGTTACAATTCTATTTGACAAAGGCTTATTGAGATCTACTGTGCATTAAGCAGAACACGGTTTCTGCTTTCAACAGACTAGGTAAGAGAAATGGACAAAAAAAAAAAAAAAAAAAAAAACCTATGGTGTGAGTGGAAGTAAAATTAGGGCTAGAGAGAAGAGCAAACAGTGGGTATGGAACTACAGCAAGTCACCCTCTGAGGGTGGGCAGTGAGATGGAAACCAGGAGTGGCTTCATGGAAGAGGTGGCATTGGAGCTCAGGAGGAACAACAGAAGCCTTCAGGCTTCAAGAGAGAAGGCACTGCTACATTGTAGTCCACGGGACAGAAGGCAGAGACTGTACAGGGCCAACTGAGGGGAGGTGGTGAGGGAGGATGAGGCCAAGGGCCAGGGCCTTGTCTGTTAAGTTCACAGATCTACTGTGAAGAGGACTCCAGCCTTCATCCCTCCCCTAGTCTAAAGCCCACTCCTTAGCAGAGATGAATTTACCTTATGTAACCCACTGTCCATGCCCCTCTGGGCCTGACCCATGCCCACTGTCTGGCCAGACCACACCGACTGCCTGTTCACGCCTATTCACCCTTAGACGATCCCCCAGCATAGATGAGGCAACTGGAGCTCACAGCCATCAACCCACCCAAGACCACACTTTCCTTTCCTGGGGAGAGGAAAGTTCCCTGGTCTCAGCACTCTGGCCAAGGTCCCCATGGTCAACCAGAAAGGTGCTGTAGCACTCTCCAGTGTTCGCTCTGCAGAGCCGCTCACCCAAGTGGCTTCTTGTGCAAGGGAAGAAACTGCAACCTCGAACCTTCCCCTCATTTCATCACAGTCTGATGCCAGAGCCGATGCCAGTCAAACCCAAGGCCTGCCACAAATATCATCTTACACTCACTTGCCTTTCTCAAAGATACCAACTCAGCTAAGCTCCCAAGAAACCTATGAGGAAAGTTGGGCCAAGAGAGGGCAGGTATTCAGCTTGCCAAGAGCCACACAGCTTCCCTGGAACTGAAAAACGTTTGTCTCTTAACTCCCCCTGTATCACAACTGCTCAGCCCATGAGAGGCCCACAGACCTCTGCTGAGAGACACCAATGTGTCCTAGTCTTGCTTCAGTCAGTAGTTTTGTCAAATCAGTAAATATTTTAATTTAATTACTCTCGACCATCCTGCCTCAGCCTCCACAGTGCTGAGATTACAGGTGTGTGCCATTGTGACTGGCAAGTCTCTAAGTCATTAGCATCTATGATTCCTCATCAATAATAATTGGCTGAGATGTAGCTCAGTGGTAAAGTGCTTGCCTAGCATAAGAAAGGCCCTGTCTTCCGTCCCCAGCACCATTAAAAAACAGATAGTATTATTCCCTCCCAAAGACTTAATAGGGTCATTATGTTATTAAGTGGCATCACTAATAATTAATTGAGTGTGTTTAGAAAAATAAATGTCATAGACAGTTGGAGGAGACTGGTGACAGATCCTCACCCAAGGGAGGCAGAAGTCGCCCCCGGATGGATTTCTTCCACTTCCCCATCTCGGCCACCCTTCATTTCCTTCTGTCCTCTCCAGAGGGGAAAGGGAGCCAAAGAACAGAGAAGCCAAGCAAAGGAGGGCAGAGGGCAGAAAAAGGGCCCGAGCTAGAGGACAGCAAAATGAATAAGAGTGTAGATGAGGCTGGCAAGGTCAAAAGGGAGGAGTCCCTAGCTGGCGCACCCACCACCCTGATAAGAAATGCCTAATGTGGCCACCTTTCTCTTCACCACACAGTTCCAAAGGCCAAGGAAATGGCAAGGACCTCATCGTTCTACCGAGAGCTGCTCTGAGAAGGAAAGAGACTGCTTAGGGACTTGGGGGCCACTGGCCCAAACCCCCAGGACCTTTCAGTCACCTATGGACGCAGGCAAACATGTAGAGACAGTTCACGCCGAGCCCTGTTCTGAAGCACCCCAAAGCTATTTCTTAAGCCTCAGAGGACACTGTCTCAGCTCCACACCCAGCTCTGAGAAACAAACCCAGCCCAACCTCTAGGTTCCCAGCCCAGCCCAGCCCAGGTCAGGGGCTCTAGAAAACCTGTCCTGATGGAGAGGAGGGAGGAAGGGTGACTTCGGAGCTACTAGGCTTTGGGCCTTGCTCTGCCTCTTACTAACTAGCACGGGGACATTGGTCAGGTTATTCAACTTCCCCAAGCCTCAGTTTCCTCATTGGTAACATGAGGATGACATCCCTTCTGTCTCATCCACACCCTCCTGGCAAGAGCTGAATGAAGTAAGATGTCAGGAATGAGAACATCTTTAAAAATAGGTGTAAGGATACTGTTGGATGTTGAAGGCAGCTTCCACAGACAGAGCGACCCCTTCCCGGAACCAACCTTCACAGGCACAAAGACAGAGTCAAACACAGAGAGACAGAGACAGTCAGTCAGTCAGAAAGACAGACAGACAGAGTCTGAGAGACTGAGAAAAAGAGAGACTGGACTGAGAGAGACTGAGAGACAATTCAAGGACCAGAGGTCATAGGTCTACTTAGAAGAGAAAGCTTCAATAGCCAGTTGAATTTAGTTTCCCACAGTGTTGGCAGATATGGGGAGCAGGGATCTTGTACCCCAACTGCGTTCAGCCAGTGAGGGTTAGGGCCCACAGAGCTTGCAGAGTGAGGCACCCCCAGGCCTTATGCTTCTGGAGAGGTAACTCAGCCAGAACCCCTGTCTCCCCCCACACACACGGGTCTCCCACCTACCCCGTTTGCGCCAGCAGGGCCCCTCCCGCACGGAATACGACAGTTCCACAAACTCGATGTCCACAGCAGAGCGCTTTGGCAGGTGAGAGAAGCGCTGCGCTTCCGTGATGTGGTTCTCCACCTTCTTTAGGTGTGTGGTCAGCACAGGGGGCTCTGCCCCGTCCTCTAGTGCCACGGCCATGGCCACAGCCCCAGTCCCCAGTCCACAGCCCACGGCTTCCAGTGCCTTCTCCGCCATCACGCAGCCGGCCTGCAGGGAGAGGGCCTGCTGAGCTCAGGGCAGACCCCCCAGCCCTGCTCAAGGCGCCATAGCTTTCCGAGGCTGCCCCGCCTCCCCTCCCCCCCCCCCCCGCAGCCTCCTTCTCGGGGCAGATCCCCAACTGTCCGCACCCCTTGTCCCGCCGACGGATGCAGTGACACTCAGTCGCTACCTCTCCTCGGTCCTAGGCAGTCCCAGCCTGTCGAAAGCTGTGCCCGCTCCACCCTCCCCGTCCCGGCCTTAATCTCCTTACCCCGCAGGCCGGGCAGTCCCCGGGGGCCGAGCGAGGGCGGCCACCCGCTTGGAGGTCGGGGAGGCCGGGAGGTGCAGGGTGGGCCCCGGGGAGGCTTTGGCCTTGGCTCTGAGACCCCCCCCACCCCCCTGCACGGACTGGTGCGGCTCCTCGGGCCGGCCTGCCTCTCCCGCGCCGCTGGCCGTGCGCCTCCGGACTGTCCCCCGAAAGACGGCCGCAGACCCCAGACGCTCCAGGCCGACCCTCTGGCCCCCCCCCGGCCCCCCACCCCCCACCGCTCGCCTGGTCACCTTGACGTGCCTCCGGCCGGTGCGTCGCAAGGATGCTCAGCAGAGATGCTCACCGGAGATGCTCGACCCGGATGCTCAGCGCTGCGGCGCGGGAGGTGGACACTCCCGGCTCTCACCTGCCTCCGGCTGCGGCACCGGCGCCCCGGCTCCCTGTCCCGGTGGCCCGGGCCGGGGCGGGGCTAGGCCAGGGCGGGCAGTTAGAAGAAGGCCGGACTCGGGTCAAAAAGGATGACACGGTTGCGCAGGGATGGTTGAGGTCTCGCTCGGACCCCGCTTGGATAACCCCCCCGGGTTTTCCTAGTCTGGTGTCCAGCGCCTGTCCTCTCGAGCTAGTCGGGGCGGGCGACAGGGTTCGCTCTCTTCCAAGCTTCTGCTCGCCGGTCCTGCTGCTTCTTAAAGGGCCCGCGCCACCCCACGCCCCGCGGGTGGCAAGGATGGAGGTAGCGAGAGAAACGCCTGCAGAATGGGGGCCCGCAGGGGGGCGCGTTTGTGGACCCAGGACTGAGGGCCAGCGGCCAGAGGTCAAGCGCGAGGTCGCTAAGGGAAGGAGACCTGAAGTCACTCGGAGGGGTGGATCTCTGGGCGGTAGGGTGCAGGTTCCATCGTGCCCGGGTGGTTGGGAAGCTGTCGGTCTATCTGCGCACACAAACCCCTCATTGCTTATCTCTTCCAGTTCAGCTTTGGAGCTCAGCCCCGCCCAGCCCTAAAGTACAAAGGACTTCTGTGGGTAATTCTGAGGGTATAATTCTTGGGACTTTTTGAGACAGCCTCTCCCACACCTATTCACTTCTAAGGGCTCAAGAGGACACTAGTTATGAAGAGAGAGGGGGCCCTGGTTGTGACAACCCTCGCAGGCAGCTCCAAGGTTAACCTGGGACCCAGTCACAGCCTGCTTTGGCCATGACAGTCTTTATCCCTCCAGCCGGGTACAAGGCTCCAAGCCAGAGGAGGCTGATCTGGAGGCTCCAGGGCATGCACAAAGCTCTTCAGACAGTCCTGGACATCTTTTAGTGTGCATGCACCTTTTCTCTCTCACCCTACAAGCGTGGGCTCCGAGTCCTCAAGAGTGCTTACACGAACAGCCCCACATCTCACACCCCTCGTTTCGGCCCTTTCTCAAACTGTCACTCCTACCCCCGGTCTGGTCCACCCTGTCCTCTATGTCTTAGAGGGGTAAGTAGGTTAACGAGCCAACACACGTGACCTGAGCCTTTTAGTCCCCACCTGTCACTCGGGGAGACAGAAAGGAGGGAGACTTAGGCTGCTGCTACTGCTGCCTCCCCACCCCACCTAAGCCTCTCCGCAGGGTATGTCCGTGTCCCACCCTGAAACTATGAGGGTCAGCGAGGTTTGAGATCCAGTCTTTTCCAGCTTCCCTTCATTCCCTGTCCCACCTATGGCCATTTCTTAGGATCAGCCTTCCCATTTTCCAGATGGAGCCTCCATTCTTCAAGTTAATCTCCAATGCCTCCTGACAGACAGTTCCTCAGTGATTGCTGTGTGTGTCTGTGTGTGTGTGTGTGAGAGAGAGAGAGAGAGAGAGAGAGAGAGAGAGAGAGAGAGGATCTCACCAGCTCAGACTGTTGCTGAGGCTGGCTTTGACTGCCCCAGTCCTCCTGCCACCACCTCTAAAGTGCAGTGATTATAAACACTTATCACCAGGACTGACTAACAGTTGCGTTTATTGGACAACTACTATGAACCAGACATTCTCAGTTAATCTTAACATCTCTATGAGGCAGGGTTTTTGTTTTACTTTGTTGAGACAGGGTCTCACTATGTAACTTTGGCTGGCCTAGAACTCAATAAGTAGATCAGGCTGGCCTCAAACTTCTAGAGATCTGCATATGAGTCAGGTTTTACAACCTTCCTTTGGAGAAAAGAAACTGAGAAATAAGAAGATAAAAGAACATGCCCAAAGCTGGGCATGGTAGAATGTAGTTCCAGCGCTTTGAGAGGCAGAGGCAGGCAGAACTCTGTGAGTTCAAGGTTACCCTGGTTTACAAAGTGAGCCCAGGACAGCCAAGGTTACTCATAGAAAAAACAAAAACAAAGAAACAAACAAACAAAACAAGAAACAGTCATAGCAAATCCAAAGGAAGGATAGGCTTGGAATTCAAGTTCCCAGTTTTATCCACTCTGATAATTGGTCATCTCAGAATCTTATTCACAAATGGACTTCAGGGTACCACATAGCCCAAATTTAATGAATACATAATATTTGCCATATTCAAGATTTTTACATTTTATTTATTATTGTTGTGTGAATGTAAGCATGTTCTGGTGCCAAGGAGCTCATGTTGGGGGTGGGGGGAGGTCAGAGGCCAATTTTTAAGAGTCACTTTTCTCCACTCTGAGCTCCAAGGATCAGATCAAATTCTCAGGTCATTAGGCTTGTACAGCTCACCAGCCCAGTATTTCAGTACACTTATATAATGTATAGGGATCTCAGCAGATGTCTTAGTCAGTGTTCTATTGCTGTGAAGAGACACCATGACCAAGGCAACTCTTATAAAGGAAAGCACTTAATCGGGGGCTGGCTTACAGTTTCAGAGGCTTAGTCCGTTATCACCATGGTAGAGAGCATGGGGCGGGCAGGTGTGGAGAAATAGCTGATCCACGAGCAGAGAGAGATCGCTAACAGGCCAGGTGTGAGCTTTGTGAAACCTCCATGCCCACCGGCAATGACACACTTTCTCCAACAAGGCCACACCTATTCTAACAAGCCACACCTCCCAATCCCCCCCCCACCTTTCCTAATTTTTCTTAAAGTTTCTTTTAAATGAAATCACCACACCAGAGTAATGGCCTATATTATCTCCGCACACATTTATCAATTCTTTTTGCTGGGTCTATCTTGTCTAGTAGCTTTTTTTGAAGTATCTAATTACTGGCACCCACAGTTAGTCTACTGTGTTATAATACATTAGTAATTATTTTCCCTAAGCTGAGGGTATAATTCAGTGGTTCAGTCCCCAGCGTCACATACAAAATAGTTATTTGTCTTTCACTATTGCTCCCTGTGCCTGTTGACCATCTCTCTCCGAACCCTACCCCCACCCCATTAGTTTTTCTCTTAAGCAGATTCCCATCTTTAAGCTTCATGAAGATGGTAAACACATCATATGTGGCCAGGCATGGAGGCACATGCCTGTAGTCCTAGCACTGAAAGATGAGGGAGATCTTGAGTTTAAGGAACACCTTTTGATTCTCAAGAATAGACCATATAGTCAAGAGTGCCCAGCACTTGGGGGTGGGGGTGGGGTTCATGGCTGTCCACAGTTCAGGATAATTTTCTTTCTCCAGAACAATAGTCCACTTCTTGGCAAAGGAGAAGAACATTTATTGCACAGCTACTATGTGTTAGGAGCACAGCACAGAGATAAAACTCTCTATCACACTAGGTTTGTCTTTCTACCCTATGTTCCTAGTCTTTATATGTATATAGAAAATATACCCAACAAATAGCCATTTCTGAGCTGACCATGGTGACATACACCTGCAGAAGCAGAAGGATCAAAAGTTCAAGGTCATGGCATCATAGTGAACTTGAAGCTGGCCTCGGTCAAAACCAGGGCTGGCAAGATGGCAGATGGCTCAGGAGATAAAGTCACTTGCCACTAAGCCTGACACCTGAGTTTGAGTCCCACATGAGTGAGAGAACTTTTACAAACTGTTCTCTGACCTCCACATGCAGTGTGTACACACACACCAGAAATGTAAAACAAAATAAAAACAAAACTATTTCTTATGATGTAACTAGATCTCTCAACCTCCCTTTGAGGTAGTATTATCTTTTGGTGTTTCAGATAAGAGAAACAACACTCAGAAATTTGAGGTTCAGCTGTGAGGTGACACATCTAGTAGGATGAATCCAGCTATTCAAACCCAAGGCTTAGTGGTTTGACATTATTCCTACTATGTCAAACTTCTTTGTGCCCCGCTATCACCTTCCCATCTTAATTTAGATTTCTTAGGCTCTCACTGAGTAGCCCAAATTTGATTTCCAGTTGCAATCCTGCCTCAGCCTCCAAATGCTTAGATTATAAGTACATATCACCATGTCATTCCATTTTGCTTTTCCACACAGGGTCTCATGTAGCCTAGGCTGGCCTTGAATTTGCTACACAAAAATAACCTTGAACTTGTAATAATCCTGCCACCATGCCCTAAATTCTGGGATTACGGTGATGGACCATTAAACCCTGTTTTTTGGAGTGCTGAGGGTCAAACCCAGTGCTTTGTGAATGCTAGGTCAACACTCTACCAACTCCTCCCCCTTTTCAATAAAGAAGATGCACCTCCATCGTCTTAATATTCTTTCATTCTAGAATCTGAGTAGGCTTGGCTGTCCTGGAACTCGCTCTGTAGACCAAGCTGGCCCCAAACTCATAGAGATCTACCTGCCTCTGCTTCCCTAGTGCTGGGATTAAAATCGTGCACCACCACCACCTGGCTGAATATGAGCCTTTCTAATCTGGCAGAGATCCACTAAAATAAGTCTTCCTCATTTGTAAGACACTCCCAGAAAACATATAACTCCTAGCATAGACCTTGTTAACTTACCAACAGTAATTGCCAGGTTTTAGCACACACCCCAAATCCTCTGAAGGGCTTAAGATTCAGAGTGCTGGGTTCCCTTGCCAGGGCTTCTGATTTAATATCTAGAATGAGTCTTTCCTTAGTGTAGACTTCACTATCCTTAGAATAAAGCTGTCTCCTAACAGATGTTCCTTAATGTTTGAATGGATCTTCCCCAAATACATATGACATATCCTTTTTTTTTTTTTTTTAACCAGAGTCCCCCCATTCCTACTCCCAGTGCCCCCACCTACCCACCCCTAACCAGCTTCCTTCCTTGGCAGGTTGATAATTCTCATCTCAGCTTAGTGCTAGGCAGCAGATTTGTCCAGCAGACTCTGGACAAGGATTTGTGTGAGAAGTGGTAAGCATCATGGGGGGCGGGGAGGGAAGAAGTGTGGTAGGGTCCTGTGGGACCCAGAAAGAACTTAGACCAGAGACTTAGGAACTGGCCCAGATCTGTTTCCAGCACCCGAATTCTTTGTCCTCTATGACCTCTGGCCCACCCACTGGCTCAGCTTAAAACTTTAATGTGTTTGGCCAGAAGGAAACCCTCTGCTGGCCACTTGAGGGGATGTGGCTCAGAATGGAAAGGGGGGGTGACTATAAAAGAGAGAGCTTCCTCTCTTCCACAGTATAGCAGCAAAGTTCATCCTCTCTTCCTTGGCTCCCTAACACAGGCATCTCAGTGAACTTGGAGGGGCCTGCCCTGTTTTCTTGAACTCTAGCATGACGGTCTTCAGAGATGGGCCTCGCTTTTAAAGAGAGTATGTTGTCCCTGGCCACCACAGATGAGCCGTTCCCTCCACATTCTCCCTACATGATCCATTTCTCACTACAGGCCCAGAAACAGCTGCAGGCATGGCCTGAAACCTCTGAAGAAAAAAACAAAACAAAAACAAACAAAAAAAAAAAAACATTCTTTCTGCTTATGGGTTGATTGGTTGGTTGGTTGACTGATTGGTTTGGTTTTTGTTATAGCAACAGACTATAACCTAAATAGAAAATCATTTGGTGTTTTTGTTTGGTTGGTTTTTGTTTTGTTCTGTTGTATTTTGTTTTGAGACAGGATGTCTCAGTGTGGCCCTTGCTGTCCTAAAACTCACTTTGTAGACCAGGCAAGAGATCTGCCTGCCTGTGCCTCCTGAGTACTGGGATTAAAGGCCAGCTCCAACACAAAACAATTTAACTGAAGCATTTAAACAAGTGTTCTATCATTGAGCTGCATTCATGGCCTCTGAAGCAGCATTTCTCTCTCTCTCCTGTTATATGCTATTATTTCCTTTGATAGGAAGGAAATGAGGGACTCTCTAAACTGCAGATGTCAAGTTCTTTACAAAAGCCTCTAAGATATTTTTTGTTTGTATGGGTGTTTTGCCTGCGTACATGTCTATGTATCACATGTGTGTGTGATATTCACAGAGGCCACAAGAGGGCATCAGATCTCTTGGAACTGGAGTTACAGATGGTTGGGAGCCACTTTTGGGGGGTGTTCAAAATTGAACCTGAATTCTCGGAAAGAGCAGCAAGTGCTCTTCTCCATAGTGAGCTATGTCTCCAGTCCATATAAATATTATTGTGTATTATTTTCAGTTTTGTCTTGCTGTGACAACTATCCTTCTAAAAGCACCTTAGGGGACAAAGGGTTTATCAGGCTCATAATTCATAATTACAGCCCAGTCATTTCAGAGACATCAAGGTGGCAGGAACTTGACACAGCCAGTCTTGAGCGAAGAGAACAAATGTGTACATGCTTACCAGTGTTCAGCTCTTTCTCTACAGTACAGATTCCTGCCTAGGAAATGGTGCCACCCACCGTCTTCCTACCTCAACACAATCAAGGAAATTCCACACAGAGATGCCCACAATGGGTCAGCATGATCTAGACTATCTCTCAAGGAGAATCTCTTCTCAGGTGATTCTAGATTGTCAAGTTGACAACTATCACAACTGGAAACTGAATGTAGGGTTTTGCTAGGTGAGCATTATATTATTAGGCCATGGTCCTAACCAAAATCTGTTTCTTTATCTCTCTTCACTCAGTACAACTTGAAGTCCCATAATAATAACCTGTGACTCATGTTTTTTGCCCTCAGAGAACCCGAGTTCAATTCCCAGCATGGTATGGGAATATCTTCACCTCCCTTTTTTTCTCCTCTCAACCTCAACCCTCCCTGCTCTTCTTATTCCAGTCCTGAGCACAGTTTATTCATCCAACAATCAAGCGCTCTTCTGAGTTATGGATTTGTCCCACACAAGCAGCCATACTAGTTCCTAACACCTGGATTCGTTGTCTCACCAACACCCTTCAAAACACTGAATAAGTCGGGATTTGGTATTTTCTTTTTTTAAAGATGTATTTACTTATTTATTTATACTTATTATATATACATCATTCTGCCTGCATTTACACCTGCATGCCAGAAGAGGGCACCAGATCTCATTATAGATGGTCATGAGCCACCATGTGGTGGTTCATGTGGTTGATGGGAATTGAACTCAGGACCTCTGTTAAGAGCAGGCATTGCTCTTAACCTCTGAGCCACCTCTCCAGCCCAGGTTTTAGTATTTTCAATTCCAATTTCTTATGCATATTAAAAAAAAAAAAAAAAAAAAAAAGAGGCACTGCAATCCTTCTGAGGCTGCCTTCATTTTGTTGCTGGTTAGGAGGTAGCCTCTTCTTGAAGTCTTTCCTAATTTCTCCATGTAACTATGTATATAATTCAACCATCATCTTCCATGTTAAATAGGCTCTTTCTGAGCTCCATCCTGAGCTTTGCTTCCGACTTTGGACCCTTCTGTTATTCTGCTTACCTTGTCCTGCCTGCAAGTCCCCCCCAAGAAAGTCCCAAGTTTCTAATCTTTGTATTTTTTAGAATACAAAGACTCAATAAAAATTGGTAAAATATTTTGTTTCCTAATTCTACCTGACATAGGCAGCTTTTAAAAGCTATTTGCTTGTTTTTTATTTGAGACAGGCTCTTTCTACACAGCCTGTCCTGGTTGTCCTGGAACTATGTAGCCCAGGCTGGTCTCCAACTCAAGAGACCTGAATACTCTCCTGAATGCTGGTATTAAAGGTGTGTATCACCACACCTGCTGTAATAGGCAGTGTTTGAAGTAAGAGATCAAGGCAGGAAGATAACCTGAAGATAAATCTGAGACACTGTCCTTTTTTAATATTTATTATTATTATTATTATTTTTCAAAACAGTGTTTCTCTTTGTAGCCTTGACTATCCTGGACTCACTTTGTTGACCAGACTGGCCTCAAACTCAGAGGTCCGCCCACCTCTGCCTCCCCAAGAGCTGCGATTACAGGCGTGCCACTGCACCTGACAAAACCCTGTCCCTCAAAGCAAAATTAAAAAAAAAAAAAAATCAGTCCTTTCATCCTTTTTTTTTTTTTTTTTCTCCTTCCAAAACAGGATTTCTGTGCAGCCCTGGAACTCTCTTTGTAGACCAGGCTATCAGTGAACTCAGAGATCCACCTGCCTCTGCCTCCCAAATGCTGTGGTTAAAGGCATGCACTACCATGCCCAGCTCATTTTTCTTTTTAGCAATCCTGGAAATGAAACTCAGGGCCTTGTTTAGGCAGGACAGCGTAAGCAGTGACAGACGGTCCAAAGTCAGAAGCGAGGCTCAAGATGGAGCTCAGTAAGTTCCCGTTTGGCACACAAGTTGATGGTGGTGGTAGCTGAATCAGACATACTTACCTGGACAGTTTGGGAAGGTTTCATCCTGGAAGAGGCTGAAGTTCAGAAATCCTTTTGAGCAGCTGTCTAAGGTCCTTGAGAGTATTTCCTTTATCCAGACTGAGGAAAGGGCAGAGGCAATGAAAGCGTAACAAGCTCAGGAATGGCTGGATAGACTTAGGATGGGTGGTCAGGAAGTGCAAGCATGAGAAACTGAGTCTAGACGCCCAGCATGTACATAAAGCTGTACACAGGGTGGTGTGTCAGTAACCTAGTGATGGGCAGTGGCAGAGAAGGCAAATTCCCGCAGCTTACTGGCCAGTAAGTGAGTTAGCACATAACTCCTACCTACAGATAGCCATACTCACATAATATACATTTTTTTTTCTTTAGTTTCTGAGACAGGATTTCTGTGCAGCCCTGGCTGTCCTGGAACTCACTCTGTAGACCAGGCTGACCTTGAATTCAAAGATCCACCAGCCTCTGCCTTCCGAGTGCTGGAAATAAACCCATGTACCACCACCATCCAGCTGTCTAATTCTTTATTAATTGAAAAAAAAAAAAGAATGGTTCTAATTTTGAGGAATTTCACCTTCTTAAAGAACTCAATGAAAGGGGCAAGACTGCTAAGCAGTTAAGAACACTTGTTGCTCTTACAGAGACCCAGATTCAGTTCCCAGAACTCACATGGTAGCTCACAGCTGTCTGCAGCTTCAGTTCCAGAGGACTGGTCACCCTCTTTTGACCTCCATGGTCCCTGCACACCACATATATGCAGGCAAAATACTCATACACACAAAATAAAAATGAACATGCAATAAACATGTGTATGATTTTTTAAAAAAATCTAGTCAAAATACATCCACTCTCTAGAAAAGTGTATAGATACACAACTTTCTAGAGCTTGATTCCTGGCCCTTGAGTACTTGGCATTCTCTGGGTGATTTCTCAACCCACCTCTACTCCAGATTCCTTTGCGGTCCCACAACCCCAGCCTATCTCTGAGGCACAGGGTTATAGTTAGGACTGAGAGCGCAGTCCTCGTATCATTTATATCCATTCCGTAATACTGCTGGCATTTGCTAACAGCCAAGTACCTGGGGCCTCCTTCCACAGAGCTGGTAGATGCCCTGGAAGAAACAGACAACCTCTAATAACAGCTCAAGTGCTTCTTTTATTACTAAAAACACAACTGTCACACATATACAGTGTCTCCAATCCTGTCCCTGAAGATAACAAGTGTCCCTGGAATGTAAAAGGAAACCTTGAGAGAAATGGCACCTGGTTCTCAGTGAGGAAATGGCCCTTGTACAGCACAGTCACTCATCCCCTGGCCAACAGACCCCTGGAGATAGGAATGGACGTGGACTAAACATTTACTCACTGTCTAGCATGGCAAGGGAGTATGCTTAAGCCTGGAAACAGATCCTCTAATGAGAACACATGTAGGATTTCCTCAATCAATCCAACTCCACAGGTTCCCCACAAAGAGCAGTATAGGGGGAAACGAAATTACTCAGTCTATAGAATGATGCTGCCTGAGTCAGAGGGGACACTGTTCTCAGCACCACATCTGAAGGCATACAAGAACAAATGCTGCCCATTGGGGCACTGCTTCCTGCCTGGCTCAAACTCCAAGACCTGGAGTAGGAGTGGTGAGGCTCTGCCGCCTTAGCCCATCTGGACCCCTGGATCCTCAGGTATTCCTTGGAGGTTTTCCATCTCCCTCAAGGGTGGCTCAGAGACTGGCGGGGGCTCTCCAGGAGCTTCGGACAGCACATAGTAGACAATGTCTCGCTGGCCCTGGGTGTCCGTCTGACCGACCATATGAATGGGGTTGCCCTGAGAAGCTGAGAGGGTTGTCCCCTCAACAACCCCACCTTCCTCTTCTGTCTCTTCCTCAGGTCCTGGGGACCCCAGCACTGTTTCTAGAACAATGCCCTGCAGGCTGTTCTCATTCAGTGCCAACCCTGGATCTGATCCTTCTTGTAGCTGCTGCAGTAACTGCTGTGTCAGCTCCACACTCTCATAGCGAACTAACTGTAGCCGCATGTAGCCATCTTCATGCTCCTTGTACCTGCAGAAGAAGGCAGCAGACAGTAGAGGATGAAGAAATGGCCTAAAGACAGGTTGAAGATACAAATAGGGTACCTAAGGCTTAGGATTCTGTGTGATAGAACTGAAGATTTAAATAAATAAATAAATAAATAAATAAATAAATAAATAAATAAATAAATAAATAAGGTGGGTTTTGTTTTTTTTTTTTCCCCAAGGAATATGTAGAAGAATCTCTGGGTGATTTCTCAACCCACCTCTACTCCAGATCCCTTTGCGGTCCCACAACCCCAGCCTATCTCTGAGGCACAGGGTTATAGTTAGGACTGAGAGCGCAGTCTTCTTCTGTAGAAGAAAGGCTCAGAGGAGAGGACTCAAAATGGAAAAACTAATGCAGAAGCCCAACCCAATAGAGACTAATGGGCCCTATAATGGCTGTGTCGAAGTTTATGAGGGTTGTGGAGCTGAAGGTCAGGACCCTCAGCCTTAATTCTGGCTCTGGCTACAGGACTTTTGGCACTACTTGTAAAGTCTGAAACTACCTTTGCATTAGAAAAGTCACAGCCTTGCATAGTGACAAACGCCTTTAATCTCGTAAGAGGCAGAGGTAGAGGCAGAGATAGAGGTGGATGGATCTCTGTGAGTTCAAGGCCAGCCCGTTCTACATAATAGGCTCTAGCCCAGCCAAGACTGTATGGAGATTCTGTCCTCACAACAAACAAACAAACAAGATGAAAACCAAACAAATAACAGTATTTGCTCCACCATTTTTAAGGTTGAGACTAAACACAGATGGTAGGTATCAAAGTACCATAAATTCAAAGGTTTTTTTTTTTTTTTCCTTTTTAAAAATTCCATCAGGCTGGTGAAATGGCCATGCATGATGATCTGAGTTCAATACCTGAAAGCCACATAAAAGTAAGAGAGAAACAATTCCACAAGTTGTGTCCCCAACCTCTATAGGCGCATTGGTACCCCCCAACCATATACACACAATAATAAACAAAAAGCAAAGAAGTGTGTAAATCCAGACGCACCGAAAACGAGGGTGCCCCGAGGGCCACTTGAATTGGTGCTTCTTGCGAAGGTGCACAGTGAGGTTGTTGCCACGTGTGAAGCATTTGTCACAGACATGACATTTGTACCTTGGCTCTGAGTCTCCCTGATGAGATGGAAGGAGGAAACGAGGTCAGCTTCTCACTCACACACCTGCTAAGCTAAGCCTTCCCCAGCGGCCACTCACTTCATGCACTTTGCGGTGATGGGACTTGATAGAGCTGAGGGATCGGGCACTGAAGCTGCAGTTCTCGAAGTCACACCTGTAGGCTGACTCCTTGCTGTGGGTGTCCAAGTGCTTCCGGAGGTCAATCAGATTCTTGCAGCTGCCAGGAGAAATAAGGAGGGGTTGGAGGAAACAGGGAACCCTAACACTTGAGTCCTGTATTTTGACCCCCGGGTCCCCTTACCTGTAGTCACAACAGTCACATTTAAAGGGACGGTCCTCACTGTGTCGAAAGCGCATGTGATTTCGGAGGGAGGAAGGCAGTGGGCAGGTCATGTCACACAGAGGGCATTTATAGTGATTCACTGAGGAGCAGAGAAGAGACAGTGATCTTGATGGGACTCACGGACCTCGAGGGAGGGTTGGAAGGCTTGGGCACAGGCCACTCACCGTGGTTCCGCATGTGGTCTCGAAGCAGCCTCTCTGTAGCAAATCTCTTGGAACAGTGGGAGCACTGGAAACGCTGCTCTGCAGTAGAGTGGGCAGAACAAAGGAACTGGAGAACAGTAAAGGGCAGAGAAGAGGGGGACCATCCCAGACAGAAGGGAACCACCCAAGGAGCAAAGGGAAGCTACAGATGGGATTTGGAGTCCAGACCTGAGTTAAACCCAGCTTTTATCACTTACTAGCTGTGTGATCTCAGGTAAGTGATTTAAGCTCTCTGAGCCTCAGTTTCCTCATCTGTAAAAAGGGGAATAAGAAGCCTACCTCATGGGGCTGTTGTGAGGATTCCTGAGATAACTGATGCCAAAAACAGTAAGTGCTGAACAATGTCTAAGTCTAGGGAGGCTCCTGCTCCCAGAAGGGGAAAAGAGCCTGGTACAGATCTCTTCAGCAGCCACCTCCCCTGGGAAGATAGCCCCTTCTTCACTTTAAGTAGGATATCCCACACTCTCCCACTTCTTTCCAACTGCTTACGATCCAATGAGGTCTGGCGACGGATGTGATCTAAGAACTTGGTGTTGTTGGCAAACATGCCCCCACAGGTGGGACAAGCCACTACCTTCTCCTGGGTGTGGCTGCGGAGGTGTTCTCGAAGCTTACACCGATCCTTGAAGGTACACGTACAGCCTAGGAAGGAAGATCTGATTATGTCCCATCCTTAAATCTCCCTCCCCAGCTTGGCTCTGGCACCCCAAATTTCTCCAGCCAGTAGTCTACGTTGTCTTGCAGGATTGATCCCACCCATCCCTGGCTCCTCTAGACCCTAACACCTACAGAGTTTCAAACAGAGGCCAGAGCAGAGGGGTTGCCCTACCTTTCCAGCCACACTGCACCACATGGTTGTCCTTGCTGACAGCTTGGTATTCACAGCACAGGCTGTGCGCATCCACGTGCCGATAGAACCACTCAGGATTGTCGAAGGTACTCTGTGCCGGGGCAACTTGGGGTAAGGACTAAGAGTGGTTAGAGGGACTCTCACCCACGTCAAGAGGGGGTTTCTTGCTCTCCTCAAATTAACTTGTGGGAATGGGGAAGTTTTAAGACAAAGGAGTTACACAAGAATAGAGGAGGGATACTAGCAGGAGTCTCATAAATATAAGGCACCCTGGAAAGAGCCAAAGTATCTTGAGTCATGATCCCCAGCTTCCTCCACCCCTATTTCTGGCACTATCTGCTAACCTCGCACTGTTCCCATAGACACAGGAAATGGTCAGGGATGTCAGGGATGACGTTCCGGCTCTGGAAGTCCAAAATGCAGGGGCTGAGGTCAGCCTGGTTTTGCAGGGCTTGCAGTCCCCACTGTTTCAGCTTGGTGTGGTAGCAGTGGAAGTAGACATGGCGGGTGAGGTCGGCAGAACTGTCCAGACAGCAAAAGCCACACTCCTGCCATAAGCAGGAGAATTCTTCCTCTGCAGAAAGGTTTAGAAGGAATGGTCTGACATTTGCCAAGCTCAGTTCGCTTTCCATCTCAAACATTAAGCAGGACTCTGACCAAGGATGAACAGGATTTTATCCACCATGTAACAGTACTTAATGACTTTCAACCGAGTCGGGTATTTCGGATATAACAAGGAGGCAGGAGTCCCAGTCCTTGTCCTCACCTAGCTTTCAGTCAGAGATTAAGTAACCATATCTACAGAACTGCAACTAGTGGCAAGGGATATGGGGTCAGGTATGTGGCACCAACAAGTGTTACACAGAGCCTTTAAGCCCAGCACTCAGGAGGGAGAAGCAGGTGGACCTGAGAGTTCGAGGCCAGCCTGGTCTACAAGATGAGTTCCTGGACAGCCAGACCCTGTCTCAAAATAGACAAGGAGCTGTCCTCCTTTTCTCAAGGAGCTGGATTTCCCGCCTGCTCTTGAGCTCTTTCCACTTTCCTTACCAAGTGGGTCCTCTTCCTCTTCTTCCTCCTTAGAGCCATGCATGTGCTGTTGCAGGTGCTGAGTGACGTGCTCAAAGAACTCCTCCATGGCTGAGCACACAAAAGAGCAGGACCCCCACTCACACTGGAGCCCCAGATTCTCTTTCCGGGCAACTTTTCCAGGAGGTGACATGGCCTTTATCTCAGAAGAAGAAATCTAGAGCTGTAAGATTGTATCCCAGGCTGCTGGAGGCAAAGGGACTAGCAGGCAGCCTGCCGAGGGTAGCAGGTACTTTTCAGTATCTTGTGCTTTTTTTTTTGTAAGGATGGGCCAGCAGTTTCTCAAGCCCTAGGGGCTGTCTGATTTCCTGAGAAGAGAAAACAATACTGAGCATGTGCCAAGCACTAAGCTAAAGACTTTAACAGACATTTTCTCATATAGCGTCAGAGCATATTCCCATGGGAGATGGAACAATGCTCAGCTTCAAAGAGAGGCACTAGGGTTAAAACCCAGATTCCACCACCTACCACCCACTAGTTGTGAGGCCTCTGCCAAAATGGGGATAACAAAACTTTTTGTTCTGAACTTCACGCTTACTCTATGTCAGATACAGTATTATTTTGTTGGGGATGGAAAGATGGTTCAGATTAACAGCCCTGCATGGTCTTCTAGGGGGACCTGTTTAGATTCCTAACAACCATATGGCTGCTCACAACCATCCATCTATATAGAAGTCTAGATCCAGAGGAGGCGACCCCCTTCTTCTGCCCTCTGAAGGTGTTACAGTCATGTGATGTAGACAACTCATGCAGGTAAGACACCCCCACACACATTAAAGTAAAAATAAATTTCATGGGGCTACAAAGATGGCTCGGTGATTAAAAGCACTGGTGATTAAAAGAGGCCCTGGGTTCAACTGCCAGTCCACATGGCAGCTCACAACTATAACTCCTGTTCCAGAGGATCTAACACCCTCACACAGACATATGTTCAGGCAAAACCCCATTGCATAGAAATTAAAAATAAGCAAGTTTAAAAAAACAAAACAAAACAAAACAAAAAAACTCCGTTCTTCGGAGGGGAAGACACATGGAGTCCGCTACTCGAATTATCCAGAAGCTGCGGAATTGGGCAACTGGGGACCCAGCCACCTCCTAATCTCCCTGTGGGCCCCAGTCACAAGCTGTCCAACAATTACTACTGTACTCCTGATGGTCGCCGGGAAGTTGTGCCTCCCTCAATCATCATGTCTTCACAAAAGGTCTTGGTGTCAGGCAAGACAGCTGAGAGCTCTGCTGTGGCAGTCACTGAGAAGATGGCAGTGACACCTGCTCCTCCCATAAAGAGGTAGGAGCTGTCTAAGGACCAGCCATACCTGTGACCCTGCCCTAGGCTACCTTGCCATGTCCCCACGGCCATGTGACCGCTTTTCCACCTTGGATTCCTGCTGGGGCAAGCATGACCTAATTTATAACAAATACATCGAATGTCACATTACTTCAAAAAAAAAAAAAAAAACACTCAAAAAATACCATTGTTCTGAGTATTTTTGGTACTGAGGATTGAACCTAGGACCTTATAATTTGGGACAGGATTTTTCCTAAGTGGCCGAGGTTGACCTTAAATACACTCTGAAATCCTCCTGCCTCAGACTCCCAAATAGCTGGGATTACAGGTTTGTGCCAACAAACCCAGCCATAGTAAGCACTGTGCATGTGTGTGTTTGAAAGTGGGCCTGTGTGATTCCTCAAGAATCAACCATTTGAGGGTTTTTTGTTGTTTTGTTTTACAAGACAGGGTTTCTCTGTGTAGCCCTGGCTATCCTGGAACTCACTCTATAGACCAGGCTGTCTCAAACTCAGAGGTCCCCCTGTTCTGCTGTGCTGGGATTAAAGGCGTGTGCCACCACTGCCTAGCTGAAGGTTTTGTTTCTTTACTTTTAATATAGTTTCTTGTTGGCCTGGAGCTCACCAGGTAGGCTAGACTGGCTAACCAGTGAGCTCCAAGGATCCTCCTGTCTCTACTTCCAGAGATACACCGGCCTTTTTACAGCAGAGTCTACCTTGACCCAGCTGTCTCTGCCTACGTTAAATGTTAGGTCATCAAATCCTAGATGAATGCTAGTATTAAATGTCTGAGCCACTACACCTGAAAATTGAACTTTGTTTTAAAATTTGCGTTCTGGAGATCAAACTTATGGCCTCCTGATGTTTCTGAAGCATGTACTTGACTGACTGAGCCACCCCTCTAGTCTCATATTAAGCATTTTATTTGCATCATGTAACTGATGACACTACTCGATGAAGCAGGCACCATTTAAACCTCATTTATGGATAACCTGAAGCTGACAAAAATTTATGCAAGGCCATCTAATGATGGTCAGGTTAGGCTGAAACCAAAGTTCATATTATTTCATATAGCCTACATATGATCCAGAACCTTTGACCTTACTGAATTATGTTACCAAATCTCTTGCCAGGCTTTCAATGCCATACATTCTGTCTTTGCTTTGCCTACTCAATGCTTGATCCCACCACTCATTTAATGTTAAAATGAAGATTCCATTTGAAGCTGGGAGCGATGTCATACACCTTTAATCCTAGTACTCTGGGAGTCAGAGGCAGGCGGATATATGTGAATTCAAAAGCCAGCCGGGTCTAGAAAGTGAGTCCGGAATAGCCAAGGCCACACAGAGAAACCCTGTCTTAAAACAAAACAAACAAAAAGATTCCATTTGAATGTAGGAACCCTGTTTATGCTCTACCTTCATCATCTGTACTTTGCTAAATTGCCACACACACACACCCTCAACAGGGTTTTTCTGTGTCTCCCAGAATACTAAGATTACAGCACTTGGCTTCTAAATATTCTTGAGAACATAAGTATTTGTTTTAAATAAAAATGAGAACAAAGTTAAACGTTCAGGTCTCGGAAAAAAGGTTGGGGGGGGGGGGTGCTGGCCTTTGAGGCAGATCACTTGAGAGTTTCGGGCCAGCCAGAGTTACAAAGTAAGGTCTCAAAAAAGAAGCTACTATGCACAACATATTGTATGTATCTGTCTGAAGAGAGAATCAGACGATGGAAAAGGAAAAAGAAACTCCTTAGTTTTGTGATCTTAACGCACTACTAGGGCTCAATGAAGCACAGCTAAACGTATCCTTGTTTCTTAGCGCTAACCCGGTGATGGGCGGCATCCAACCCCAGGATCCCTACCTAACACTTCATCAGCAGTAACAGTACCAAACGATCCCATCAACAAATATTAAGAGAGTACAGCGTATTGCTGGGCTCCAGTGAACTCTGAGCCACAATAGAGAAAAAGAAAGGCCCAGGTCCTGAACAAGGACTCACAGACGAGGATCTGACGGCTGAACGCGGTAGGGAAAACAAAGCGCGCGACGAGGGCGACCTGGACACAAAAAGGCCCGTGGGCAGGCTCGCCTAGGGGCTGAGGCCGGGCCCAAGCTTCGGAGGGTGGCTGGAACTCCAAGGAGGAAGGAGACCGTTCGGCGGCGCCCAGCCCGACGGGCTTCCCAGGATCCGCGTCGCCAAGCGCGGCGCCGACCGAGTCCAGCCGCAGCGACCCGCAGGCCGAGGGCGCGGAGGCGCAGGGCCGGCCCCGACGCCTCGCCAAGGCCCTCCGGGACGCCTGGCCTTCCAAAGGCTCCGGGGAGCGGCCCAGCCGTCACGCCGCCGGGGCTCCGCGACCCCACTCACCTGCCAGCGCCGCGGGGCCTCCCGGCGCCCCACCCACCTCACACCATACACCCACAAGAGTTTGAGCGACGGCCAGCGACAGCCAATCGCCACTCTCCACTCGACCAGCAGCCAATGGCCGCTGCGTCTGGCGGAACCCGTGCGCACCAAAACACGGAAGAGGCGGGAACGGCACGGCAGAGGGCTCCGTTTCCCGCCGGGTAGAGTGAGGGCCGAAAGGATGTGGGAAAAGTTAGCGTCACCCGCAAAGGGGGGTTGGGGCTGCTCTAGGCAGTGCGCAGGCCGGAAGCGCTGAGGCTCGGATGCCCTCTACTGCGCAGACTCCGCGCCCACCATCTACTGGGCATGCGCCTAGGTTAGACCCGGTTGTCTTCGTTCTCACGGCTTCTGTGTTTCAGTTAGCCGGGTAGGTGGTCCCTCTACGCGGGGTATCAGATCCATCTGTGATTTTCTTGGTTTTCTACGTACCCCAGGCTGACCTTGAACTCACAGAAGTCCAGCTACCCCAGGCTGACCTTGAACTCACGGAAGTACACCCGCATTTGCCACCCAAGTGTGGGTAATAAAGGCATAGACCAGCACATTTGCCCGGTGACCTCAACCTTCAGATCCATCTGCTCTAGCACCGCATGCTGAGATTATAGATTCTTCCGCCTCACCACGATTATGTGGTGCTGCGGAATTCGGTCAAGGGTTTCTTTCTACTTGCTAGACAAGCGCTTTACCCCAGCAGCCACTCAGTCGCAGCCCAAGATTCTACTTTCCTAAACACATGATCACCTACATTCATCTTCTTCCATTCTAGTCCATGAATGACATTCATCCCAGAACTCCACACTCGTTTGACCCGTCCCAGTGCTCACTTTCCTACAAGGCATCTGCCACAGAGCTCAGCGAACTCATCTTTAACGAAAACAGACCTGATCGAGGCACCATTCTGTGTAAAATACTCAGAAGCATTCTGTTCCCGCCAGTACAGAGGCCCCAAAGAAAACGGAGTATTTCCGAACTCCAACACCTGGGTCCTGCGTACAACAAATCCTATTTTGAGTCTTCGGCCTCATTTCCTGAACCTCAGCCGCGAATTTCAGTTTCCCTACCGCACTGTGCCTTCTTTGACCTCTCAAGGTCTGCGCTTCTCTTCCCCTAAATAAGTCTCCCTATTCCCTTTCCAATTATGTAACTGACTTTCGAGCCACTCTTGTGTTTTCAATGGAGACATTTCCGTCTCTACATCAGTGAGGAAGAACAGTTGTGTCTGTTTTATAAACCAGTCACAGTCTCATAGTCCAGTGAGGTAAGCTCAGAAAGTATTTAAAATTGCCAGGCGGTTGGTGCACATAACTTGACTCCCAGCACTCCGGAGGCAGCAGCAGATGGACCTCTTGAGTTCCAGGCCACCAGGGTTACTCAGTGAGACCTCACCTCAGAAAACAAAAACAAAGCAAAATAAGCCAAGCACCAAATTAAGCTTGGTGCGTACTCACGTGTAACCCCAGCACCGGGGATGCAGGAAGATCATGAATTTGAGGTCAGTTTCTGGGAGGGGTACTGTAGAGTAAGTTCCAAGACAGCCTGGGCTATCAGACACTGTCTCCAAAATATTTTTTTTACTGTCCTACATAAATAAGTTCAAAGACAACTGGCCGGGCGTGGTGGCACACATCTTTAATCCCGGCATTTGGGAGGCAGAGGCAGGCGGATCTCCATGAGTTCAAGGCCATACTGGTCTACAAATTTCTCCCTGGTCTACTGCAGGGAGAAACAAAAATTTAAAGACAACATAAAAACAGGTCACGTTGAGCCAGGGTTCACAGGCCTGTAATCCCAAATCTTCTGCTACTGGGGAGGCAGGAAGATCCCAAAGCAACCTAGAGAGACATTATCTCAAAAAACAAAGCAGCTGTAGTCACGATGCTTCACTCCTATAATCCCATGTAGATCAGGCTCGCCTCAGACTCACAGAGATCTGCCTGCCTCTGCCTTCCAAGTGCTGGGATTAAAGGTGTGCGCCTCTACAACTAGCTAAGATTTATTTCCTTAATGTCTATGAGTGTTTGCCTGCCTGTATGTAGGCACAGCATGTGTGTGCCATGCCTGCAGACGCCAAAAGAGGGCATTGGATCTTGTGAGCTGCCATGTGGGTGCTAGGAACCAAACCAGGTCCTCTTCAAGAGGACTTAGTACTCTTAAACACTGAGATGCTTCTTCCGTACCATCTCAAAAGTTAAAAACAAACTTTACAAGTGTTTTGACTAAACTTATGTGTATCATGTGTAGCCTGGTACCAGGAGAGGCATCAGATTCAGACGAAACAGAGTTGCAGATGATTATGAACTGCCATGTGAGCTTGGGTCCTCTGCAAAGGGAGCAAGTATTCTTTCTGGCTGAACCCTGCCTTGTTTTCAGAGTTCTGGGAATAAAGGCATGTGTCACTATACCCAGTTATTTTATCAACCTTATTCATTTGGAAATTCATAATTCTGCTGGGCATGGTGACACATGCCTTTAATCCCAGCACTCAGGAGGTTCTCTGTGGTTCAAAGACAGCCTGGTCTACAAATCAAGTCCAGGACACCCAGGGCTCTGAAAAACCCTGTCTTGAAAAACAAAAACACAACAACAAAATCCTAACTCTAGCACTACTTCATGAAATGCTAACCCTCATTTTAACTCAGATTTACAGCACTGAAAATGGTTCCTAGCCTTTTAGTAATTTCATGAAGAAACACTTGTCACAGAGCTGTGTGAACTCAAACACTTTTCAGAGCAGGGATCTCAGTGTGTTATGGATCTATGTTTCCAGATTTTAGTATCAGGATGTGGTGAGCTATGCATTTAACTCTAGCACTAGATTTATGGTATGGGGGTGGGCGGCAGAAGCCAGTGGATCTCTGTAAATTGGAGGTAGCCAGGCAAACAGTGAGACTCTGACTCAATAATTAAATAAACAAAGCCCACATTTCCAAGACAGGGTTTCTCTGTGTAGGCTTGGCTGTCCCAGAACTCACTCTGTAGACCAGGCTAAGCTCAAACTCGCCTGCCTCTGCCTCCCAAGTGCTGGGATAAAGGTGTGCATCACCACATGACTGCCCCTAAGTTTCAAACCAGGAACAAGTAGCTATCAAAGCAGACTTGGCCTCCAGGCTTTCCCAGCAACCCTCAGTCCCTACCTGTTACAGGGTATGGCTGGCATACCCCACCCTATACTCTGCACTTTCCAGGGGGATGGGCTGCTCTTCCCTGTATAATCCAGACATTCTGGTTACCTGCACTCTCAGCCTTTTCCTTTAGCCTCTTAGCTGCTGTACTTGGCTCCCCTCTCTCCACGTGGTTCAGGTTTATGATCGCTCTGGACTCTCCCAGATGTGTCTGCCTCTGGCTCTGCTCTCCCACCTATCTATAATAAACTTTCTCCTCCACCATACCTACGTGCAGTCATGTCTTTTCCTTGCCTTTTTATTATTATTTTTTCCACTGGGGGAGGGGGTGAAGACAAGTGAACTACTTGCTGATTGGCTTTTTTGCAGCAACTTGACTTTTCAGAGTGTTGTCACTCAAACCTCTCTACTACATGTGTTCTTGGGTTCAGGAGCATCGATCCCATCTGACTGCCTGGCTCTCCCTCAGCGAGCCTCCTACTCTAGCAACACCACAACCTCTCGGCCCGTTTGCTTTTCAAAGTATAACCAACAGTTCCCGTGTATAAACTCCAATTTGATTTTAATTAAATAAATTAAATTCCAAGCCATCACACAGCAATGGACATCATCATCCCCCAACATACAGAGGTGCAACCTTGCTCTATGATCATACTGTCTTTAAAGCTCCTAAAGCTCTCTCTCTAGGAAGGCTTCCTACCAGCTTCCTGGCTCCTTCATTCCAACTGAGCCACTGCTCATGGAGAAGGCATCAAGTACAAAATGGTAATAAAGGGAAAGGAGAGAAGAGGATCGGTGTGGGAGGTAGGGAGGTGGGGAGTACCTGCCCCCCATCCCGGGCAGTAACCCGGCTTCCTATGATCTGCCAATGTCTTCCAAATGCAGACACTGGTGCTGGTCTAAGTGGGGACCCCCAAGGGAAGTGTAGAAACCCCTCCTTGGAATTGCCTTACCCTCCTGGGACAGAAAAGGGTCACCTGGGAGAGATGCCCTCTACCATCTGTTTGCCAAGGATCCTAGACCACACATATAAATAGAAAAGAGAATAAATAAGGGAGAAGGGTCTGCTGAGGAGACGAGTGCCCCGGGGCTCCTCTCTGGGGGCAGTACCAGCAGAGGGCACAGGCTTCTGAAGAATGTCCACACATGCCAAGACAGAACCTGCCCCTTACTCCCAGCTGCCAAACTCTCTTCTATGTCCACAGTGACAAGTGCCACCTCTCAATGCTACCCATGTCAAACACCCTTCTAACTTACCCCACAGCCCAGAGTGCCGGGGCTTCTAAGAACCCGAGGGCTTTCCTGGCCCCAGCACTGGGAATCCAGGAAGGGGTAAAGAAGGAGATGTGGGGAACTGACTGAGAGAGAACTCTTGTCCTCTCCTAGTTCAGGAGGGCTCTCAGAGCTGGGGACTGGGGTTGCCGTTGGCCTTGGGTTTGGATTTGAAGGAAAAACGCTTGATAAGGCGACGAGAAAAGCTGCCAGCCTTCTTCCGCACGCTAGGCGTGGCGGTCGTGTTGGACAGGTCATCGTGCGACTGGCTCAGTCCAGCTTCCTTCTGTCGGGGCCTCCGGCGGAAGATGAGCTTGGTGCCACTGCGCAGGAAACTCACTGTGGAGAAGAAGGGAAACTGAGGCAGATGGAGGGGGAGAGGACTGGGGCGTGGGTGGAGAAAAGACTTAGGATGTTAGCACCGAGGATGAAGACTAGAAGCGGTGGCTTGCACAATGCCTGCCTTTCTCAGGAAAGACAGTGGAAGCACACATGAGCTTCACTTCTTAAGGAAGAAACAAAGTCCTAGGGGAGGGATCCCGTGCCTCTGACCCTTT